CTGAGGAAGAAGACAAAACTTTTATTTACGTAGCAGTTGGTGAGAACACAAAAATCTTTATTTACTTATTACACCGTGCGACAGTCAATTTTACACACGAAAATAAAATCAATAGTGGTATTCACCAAATTGAGCAAGTGGCCTGGCAATGTGGCAGGGGAGCAAATGAGCTCAAGCAACGTAATATGTATTATGTATGTATGCCCACTCGGTTTTTTTTCCATACCACCTCCTACATCTTATTTCATTAAAAGATCAATTCTTGTATATGTGTATATATAGCCATAGGGTTCTCGGAAACGCTCTAAAGAATTTGATGAATTTTGTACACAGACAATGTTTTGAGTTTTGAGGTTATGCGAACAACCCATTCCAAGAAGACTCACATAAAGCTGCCACCTATTCGAAATTAACTATAAATTAATTCAAACATCATAGCATGTGTATCAAATGGAAGCTATTTTAAAAATCCCTAATTCAAACATATTTTTAGTGGGGTTGCCACCTATTTTAAATCGCATATTTATTGAATTTTTTGTTTAGAAAAAAAGGTAAAATATTACTATTGATGTGTACCAAGAGAAGGTTCTTAAACAATGCTTTCCTTGTATACAAAGTGTTATCCCTTAGGATAATAGTGTAGGGTTGCCACTTATTTTCGATCATACACAATTTATCTAAAAGATCGCAATATGGGTACGAAATGAAAAGTATTGTTGAGAACTTTGGTCCAAGCGCTCATTTTCTTTACATCATTCATTACTGTAAGTTCATTGGTTTAACAGATAAACCGTTGAATGCAACTACCATTTAGTATTTACTGTTAGGTATGCTTCTTTATATGTATTGTTCCACAAATAAACGACCGTAACGAAGCGTTTTAGGCAACGGTTCTCAGTCTCATTTTAAGTTTTTATTTAGCTTGCACACAATAGCTTTCGCATCTGAACCACCCACATACATATGTATGTACATATGTACATATGTATCACTTATTCGGCCGGTATATTGTCGCTTAACATTTAAGTAATATTCACATCTCCCTCTTAATTACTCAGGTCATAAGGCTGTATTATATGTGACCTCTGCTCCAATAATAAACATCGCCGGCAAGCTCAACAACACCAAGCTTGTGTCGCACAACAAGGATGTCACCTTCGATGATCAAAGGGGAAAGGGCTACGGGCGTCTCAACATTATTTTCTCGGTGGATACACAGAAATTATTCTTGCGCTTCAACTTTACACTGAGTCGTGGTTATTGGTACATGAAGGCCGTTGAAGTGGAGTACAATGAATACAAATCGGTTTTGCCAGTTGTGGGTACGCTCTACAGCATTCCTTCGGCACCTATTGGCTTCTCGTACCGCTGCTCCTCGCGTAATTTACAATTTGGCAACGAGAGCGACAGTCTTACCATAAGTGACTTTCAGGTGGCTAGCAATACACTGACAATGTACATTTCTATGTATTTAACTGTCTGTTTGTTTTCATATATGTATGTATGTACATATCGTTGTTTGCATGCTTAGGTCCAGCCCTGGTTGAATGGAGTACCGCGCTTTGGCGACGTTTACGATTGTGTTGGATTTACCACTGCACCCATTTGGGCTGGCATATTAGTAACGCTTTTCCTAGTTGGCATTCTGTCGATTGGATTAATTGTATTGATGGACATTAAAACACCAAACCGATTTGAAAGCTCTCGCAGCAAGCAATTGTCACTCTTTATCCAGGAGTAATTGAAATGAGCACATTAGTCCAGAGGAGCGCTTCGTGCGCTGCTTGCATAATCGTCTACTAACCAACTACATATAGGTAGAAAACTATAGATATGACGTAAACAGTTGCTAAAAGTTAAGCTTCTTCGAAATGTTTACATTAATTGCCTACAGCGTCGCGAATCCTCTCGTACTCTTCACACTAGCTATAGAGTTTTTCCTTATACATTTATTATTTATTCTAGTTGCCATGTACATTTACATTATATTGTTTTATTGACATACATATGTATCATGTTTCATACATACACACTTACGTACTTACGTACAGTGTCTGTGCTAATGTGTCTGTTCCAATTAAACATTGAATATTCAAATAATTTGTTTCATTTCATGCCGTTAGCAGTAGCAACCGACTTCAATGCTTATAAAAAAAAGTTAGGTATACCGTTAAATTCTTCATGATCCAAAGATGGGAACTTAACCAAATTAGTAGTCACGTGGTCCAACGATATGCGGTAACATACATACATACATAATAAGGTCGTATGTAATTAAAGCAAAAACTTTTAAAGACAAGCTTTTATTAGTCGTTAATAAAAAAAAAGTAAACTCGAGCCCCGCGGCATCTAAAGGCTGAATTTGCGGCGGAGTTATTTCTTTCCATTTAAGTAATGTAGGTACGTTCTAACAATGAAAAAACGCATTTTACAAATAAGTTGAAGGATTCTCATATCCAAAACGCTAATTACGACCACGATACTCGTATATAAAGTATGAAGCCACTGTAGGGGCGTAGCTTGATCGTTACGCAGATATGGGGACTTTTTTAACACTGAAAACTATTTAAATTTCGAAGATTCCAGTAATACCTGCTCCCTTTAAAACATTTATGCTACTTCCGTCATTTTCAATGAAATTCCTGTGAGTCTTCTTCCAAAAATTGTCCAGAAGACTCGGTATGGTGGATAAAGTATCAAAGAGCAAAAAGTGCTTAGAATAAGTAAATGCGTAAATACATATGTACATATGGAAGTACACATGTTCATATGTGAGTTTTTGTGCCATATTCCTTTCATCCCATATATGTATGTATGCTGACTGACAAGCTTTCTTCGCTTATCGATCTGTAGCTCAAACAGTTTTACTTTCTAATTTGGACAGGTATGTATGTAAGTGAACACACACCAACAGCCAACAGAGTGATGCATACACTTGTGCCAAAACCGAGGCACATTAACAGGACCGGCCCACTTTGTTTGTATGTACGAATGAATAAGCATACATTAATGCATACATACCTATGTACATATCTACGCAAACTGCCTCGGAGATTGCACAAAAACTGAATTGTGCCAAACGAGCCTTGGCAAAAAGCGAATTCTAGTTACCGGTCAACGACTGTACATATGTACACATATCTATCTACTCACGCAGTTATACACAATGTACATATGGATGAGTGTATGTACTTTGCACGTGAACCTGCTGTGAACCTTTCTCTTCCCCGAATAGCAGCACGCCCACTAAATGTAGTATAAACAAAAAACATAAACTACTCGAATAAACCAAAAAATGCAACCATTCTGCCAATTGCCAAATTATTAGTATGTTCCTTAGAACTTCGGACTAAAACCTGTGGAACTNTCTCAAGTGAGAATAAAAGTAGAACAGATGCAGAAGTGCACGGGAACGCAAAAAGCACTATTTCCTGTAAAAACGTTAGTCGGTTTGTTTACATGTCATCTCTACAACACTGATTTGGCTGAAATATCACTAAGGCTGTGTGCGAGTACGTCTAAATTGCTACCTAAGTAGAGAAAAATCCTAAATCACTGGAAAGTGTCGGTAACGCAGTGAATAGGAACAATTTAGATTTTCTGCGAGCATACTTTTCAACCTAATTTGAACAGCCAAATATATGTATTTGAGCGAGCGATTAAACGAACAACGATTTTTTGATGTTTTGAATAATTTTTATCATTGCTATGGCA